ATACTTCAAATTACCTATGATATATTAAAAATATAGCTCATACATTTCCAAAAACATCCATGGAGACAACAATTATAAATGTAACCGTAGTTCTGTTGCTTAGATACACATAAAAATAAATAAATAGGGAAACACACATAAAAGTAGTGTGTGTGGCTTTGATTTAAAAAACTTAATCAAATAATAAAGGATGTTTTTTAGAATTTTATTTAATAGTATATTTATCAAAACAAAAATATAATGTAGAAAATATAAAGGATGAGATCAAACAAAGACATTTAAGTTTTTTTTTTTAAACTGTCTTAAAACCACAAGATGTTTGAGAAAATAAACAGATTAAAAAGCAGAAGATAGACTTGTGTAGAAGAGCCTGCAAAAATGTAGTGAATTATTTAAAATGCTGCAAAGAGCTAGTTGGTAAACAAGTTGAATAGCCACATATATTATATTTTTGTTTGATAAATATACTGTTAAATAAAATCCTTTATTATTTGATTAAGTTTTTTAAATCAAAGCCACACACACACACATACAGTCGAGAAGATGATATCGGCCAAATAGGCGCCGCCACAATTGATTGCTATACAGGCTCGTTTTATGGCATTTTTCATCACTTCAGCGAGAACTTCTGGTGACAGATTCTCCCACTTGTGTCAAATGTTGTCCTTAAAAGTTTTCAGGGTCTCGGGCTTGTTCACGTACACACGGGACTTCAAAAAAACCAACAGAAAGAAGTCTGGAATGGTGAAATCGAGCGATCTTGCAGGCCAGTACAAATCGCCAAAACAAGAAATGAGGCAACCCGGGAACGCCGCCTTCAGAATATTGGTTATTGCTCACGCACTGTGTGCTGCTGCTCCGTCCTGTTGGAACCACGTGTCCTCTAGTCCTAATTTGTTCAATTTTAGCAGAAAAAAACCCAGTTAACATGGCCCTATAGCGCGCACCGTCCACTGTTGTCTTTTGACCAGCGGTGTCCTCGAAAAAAAATTGCCCGATGACTCCTCCAGCGTGAACAGTGCACCATGAGATCACTTTCAGCGGGTGTAATGGCTCCTCGTGCATCACTCGTGGATTTTTAGTGCCCCATAAGCGATTGTTTTGCTTGTACATGTACCCGCTGAGGTTGAAATGAGCCTTATCGTTCATTATGATTTTGGTCGAAAAAATCACCACTTCATGCTCGAGATTGAGAATGGTTTGGGCGTAGGTTACACGCTTTTGCCGGTCGACAGGTAGCAGCTGCACGGACTGGACTTTGTACGGGAACATGCGCAGGTCTTTCACCAAAATTCACCTTAGGGACGACTGGCTGATGACTAATTGCAAGGCACGGCGTCTGGTTGATGTTTTTAGCGACAACAACAAAATCCTCGGCAACAGCAGCAATATTTTCGGCAAAACGGGCGCTCTGAGGACGGCCACTCTTGGCAACGTCTTGTGTGGTTCCATACTCTTGAAGGTTGGCGGCCAAACGGCACAGTGTTTGCCCCATCAGTGCCCGATGACCCGGGAATCAGCGCCTGAATTCGCACTGCTCCAACACCACAGACAAATTTTTACGTAAAAAATTAGACAGGATTATTCCGCGTTCTTGGGGAGTGTATAGCTCCATAGCTTGTTCACTTGAAAGTTACATCTGTCTACTTCACAAATGTCGAAACAGATTTCCCATTTGCCGCAATCTGCACAAAAAAAAGGCATATTACAATAGGGTGATTTTTTTTGGCCCACCTTGTATATATATATATATATATATATATATATATATATATATATATATATATATGTATATATATATATATATATATATGTATATATATATATATATATATATATATATATATATATATATATATATATATATGTATATATATATATATATATATATATATGTATATATATATATATATATATATATATATATATATATATATATATATATATATACATACATATATATATATATATATATATATATATATATATACATATATATATATATATATATATATATATATATATATATATATATATATATATATATATATATATATATATATATATATATATATATATATATATATATATATCATTGACCACATCATAGAATTTAATAGTAGATTCAAACTCAAGATAAAGATTGTTGAACTTCCAGAACTGTGAAGGGAACTTAAGTCATTGCAAATCACCCTTTCTATGTCCAATCTAATCAAAAATGAGCCAAGTTTGGTAAATTACTAGAGAACAAAAAGATGGAGGCTGATCTTGTGCAAAGTCTAGAGAATGAAAAAGATCTTTATCGACCATAACATGTTTAAGTGAAGACATGTTAGGTTTGTCAAGAAGTGTAATGTTAAATACTTTAGCATTATCTTCTCTGTTTTGGCAACGTTTATCTGCTAAAGCACAACTAAGACAGGATCAAGGTACCAGTGGTGTCTGTCACATGATTTTAATACTGAAGTAGCTCCAAGAAGATTTATACCCATGAACCTCATCATCTGCAACAGAGCTTTGGTATCTTATGCAATATTTTAACAATATTAGATTAAGCCATCAATCAAACAATTAACTATTTATTTTTTATGCTGTTTTCTTATTTATAATTATTATTTTTAACCTGATATGGGACAGCAGTTGACAGTACTGCTCTAAGAACCCACTAAGTGTAAAAGATGCAGACAAACATACCGATATCACAAATCTCTTCTATATTTTCTTCTGATAAATTTGGAATGGTTTCCAATAATAAATACATTTTAAGGTAATACAATGCTTTTGTCATGCATCTAGCATAATGCAATAGACCAGGAACCTATTATCTATTACATCTCTATAGAACTGTTCAGCCTTAAGATGTTGTTTATTTATTCAATTTTCTGAATCCTCATTAACAGAACTGCGTCTTTTTCAAGATCATTCCTAAAAGATTTTAGGTGTTTAAAGAGCTTGTTTTTTGGACCAGACGTTTTACTACTTGGATATATCATAATAAAGTGGGTAAGATGTTTTTCCAAAATATGGCGTTTACAGGCAAGGAAAAGTAGTGGCCGCCCCAGCTTAAATGCTATTCTCGTTATAATTCATTTGCAATGATGGAAGCAGTAGTATCAAAGCTTTTTTAGTGATTGAGAAAATCTCAATTGGAGCCTGGGAACTACCAAAACCCCAAAATTTGTGCCCCTAGCCCCAAATGTGAGGGCGATAAGTTTTATACAATTGTTATTTCAAACTAAGTTTATAGTCATCAACAGATTTCAAATTTCATTTAATAATATTTTAGCGTTCGAAAGTTATGACGATGTAAAAGTTTTAACCCCCTCATTTTGGGGAGGGTGGAAACTTTAAATAGTCATAATTGTCGAATGCTAAAGTATTATTTGATGAAATCTGTTAATGAATATAAATTTAGTTTAGAATAGCAATAGTATAAATCTTGGTAACTTATTGCCCTCAAATTTAGGGTTGGGCGGCACAAGTTTTCAGGTTTTTGTAGTTCCCAGGCTCCAATCACTCCAATTTTTTTCGAAGCATCCTTATTTGGTATAAGTATAAAGATACCCAAGTTTGAAGTTTGGTCCATGTCTTCAAGTTATCTATCTCAATCACTAAAAAAAGTTCCAGCAATCCATGAAATAAGGAAAATCATTTTTTTTTTTGGTCTTCTTTTTGACTTTTTTATATAAGTTTTCCAGGGTTGAGAAAAACAAATACAATTAGAGTGCTTAATTTTATTTTTATATTAGTCATTGTGAGAGTTTATATAGAAAAAATTCAATATTGTTTAATGGTGGCACACATGGGGTTAAAAAACATCAAAAAAAGGTTAAAAAAAAAAAAGTACTTAAAGGCTGTGTGCCACCCTAAAACTGTTTTTTTAAGTTAAAAAAAAAAAAGTTATATAAAACAAGGGTTTGCGCACCTTATAAGTTTCCACTCTAGTCCAAAAAAATTTTTTTTGTTAATTCTGAACCACCAATATATATATATATATATATATATATATATATATATATATATATATATATATATATATATATATATATATATATATATATATATATATATATATATATATATATATATATATATATATATATATACATACATACATACATACATACATACATACATATATATATATATATATATATATATATATATATATATATATATATATATATATATATATATATATATATATATATATATATATATATATTTATATATATATATATATATATATATATATATATATATATATATATATATATATATATATATATATATATATATATATATATATATATATATATATATATAAACAATTTTAAAATGTATTCTACAAAATAGAGGGATAATGTTCTTAAAAGAACAGTGCAATTGTAAAGTAGTAGAAAATCACTTAACAAAAATTTTTTTCATTTAACACTGTGTTTCATCAGAAATCTGATAACTCTTTATTGATGAAACACATGTGCATATATATATATATATATATATATATATATATATATATATATATATATATATATATATATATAATTATTTAAATATATATTTTAATTTGGGGGGCGCCCAAATACGGTTGACGCTGTAAAAATGGTCTAGAATAGCCCCTGATGTATACATATATATATGTATATATATATATATATATATATATATATATATATATATATATATATATATATATATATATATATATATATATTATGTATATATATATATATATTATGTATATATATATATTATGTATATATATATATTATGTATATATATATATATTATGTGTATATATATATATATATATATATATATATATATATATATATATATATATATATATATATATATATATATATACACATGCACAGCAAATAGTAATTAAATACTTTTTTTTTTAATAAAGAATACAAAAAAAAAAAAAATTAATGAATTTTTCTATTAGTCTTCAATATTTTACAATCAATTAAGATGTTTGTATATTTTTGCAGAGATATTCAAGGAACATCTAAAAGAATTCGAAGAGCTGTTTTGCAGTTTACTCCAATTAGGTTTATTTTTAATTTTAAATTTTTAATAAATTAATGTAATTTTAAAGCTGTAAATGATGTTTTGAAAAGATGTTGAATTAAAATTTAGTTGGACAGAGGTTCGATGGTTTGATCCAAAATGTGTGAAAATGAGATTTATAGGACTTTGCGGTTTAGTTATTATATGGCAGGTAGGTACTGCTTCAAAAATAAAAAAATTTACAACTTTTATTTTGATTAGATTTTGAATAATTGATAAAAAAAGTCATGTATAAAAAACTGTAAATTTCATGAATAAAAAACTGTACATTTTTTTTGTTATAAATATAGTTTTGAACTATATTTATTTGAAATATAGTTCAAAATTATTATTTTGAACTATATTTCAATATTGTTTTATTTTTAATGTTTTGAAAATTTTAAAAAATTTTGAAAATTTTGAAAAATTTTCAGTTAATAGTCATTAACCATAGATGCAAGGACTGAAATAGGTTTTCTTTGGTGCTCAAAACAACTTTTAGGCATATGTAAAACTTTGTTGTTTCAGGCATATGTAAAACTTTGTATGTAATTCTTTTAATTGAGACAAAGTGTCAACTAAAAGAATTACAGTAATTTTGTTAAGTAAAATTACAGTAAGATTGTATATGAAAATACATACCCATGAGAATAATAAAATATCACAGAGATTTCTATAATACCCAAGGGAATGAAAGAATAATGTAAAGGGAATAATAAAAAAACAACTCAAAAGGTTTTTGTACTTCCATAAAATAATTTTTTTTAATCCTTTTAGATGAGAATTCAGATTGCGAATTTGTTTGAGGATTTTACAATTTCAACTCTTTAATGTCAATTTGAAATTTTTTATTAATTGAATCAAATGAATTTCATAAAAGTGAAAAAAGTACATTAATACTCATCAAAATAGCACTGGAATCTAGTCATGTCTTGATTTTCTAGAACTTTGCCAGATTAGTTTCAAAAGTTTCAACAAATTTAAAAATAAAAGTTATACTTAGACATTTAACATTATGAACATATGTTCTAATGTGTTGAATGTTTAACATTATGTGTTAAACATATGTTCTAATGTGTTGAATGTTTAACATTATGTGTTAAACATGTTCTAATGTGTTGAATGTTTAACATTATGAACATATGTTCTAATGTGTTGAATGTTTAACATTATGAACATATGTTCTAATGTGTTGAATGTTTAACATTATGAACATATGTTCTAATGTGTTGAATGTTTAACATTATGAGCATATGTTCTAATGTGTTGAATGTTTAACATTATGAACATATGTTCTAATGTATTGAATGTTTAACATTATGAACATATGTTCTAATGTGTTGAATGTTTAACATTATGTGTTAAACATATGTTCTAATGTGTTGAATGTTTAACATTGCGTGTTAAACATATATTCTAATGTGTTGAATGTTTAGCATTATGAACATATGTTCTAATGTGTTGAATGTTTAACATTATGAACATATGTTCTAATGTGTTGAATGTTTAACATTACGTGTTAAACATATGTTCTAATGTGCTGAATGTTTAACATTATGAACATATGTTCTAATGTGTTGAATGTTTAACATTATGTGTTAAACATATGTTCTAATGTGTTGAATGTTTAACATTATGTGTTAAACATATGTTCTAATGTGTTGAATGTTTAACATTATGTGTTAAACATATGTTCTAATGTGTTGAACGTTTATTCCGTTTCAAAATTTTATATACTGAAATCTATCATTTATTTAAAAATTAGATCTAATAATAGACTCATGGTACTAATAATCAGAAAATATAAATTCCTGTTGTTGTGCGCCTATAAATAGTTCAATTTTTTTGTCAACTTCTCAAAATTAATTTACTCGGACTTAGCATCTTTTGAAAATTCAATAAAAAAAAGATAGACAAGCAGAAAATTAAATTATAAGGTAGCAAACATAGACAATAAGGTGTGTGTGTGTGTGTGTGTGTATGTGTGTGTGTGTATATCTTTTTTAAATATTTGAATAAATGATATATATTTTTTAATACTTTAAAGTTTTTTTTTTTAATTCTCTTCTTTTATTGGTTGTTCTTTTCACCCCTTCTTTTCTTTTATTGGGTATTCTCACCTCTTCTCTGCTTTTATTGGTTCAAGAATAGTTTCACATTGCAAATAACACTAATATTGATAAATTAATGGTTTAGTTGATAATTTGTATAAGTTTATATATTTTTAATCATAATATTGTGTATTATAAGAGAAATTCGAATAAAAACAGCATACTATAAGATAAACCAATCAATAACTCAATCCCTGTAAATACAAATTAATTTTTTTTATAGATATCAGAGTTAAACACATTTTTTCTCAAACATATTTTCATTATACCAACTGGACATTGGATAAATGTTGCGCGTGTCATTTTTATTGGCATTGTAGCTGTACCCTCACTTAGGTATTTTATTTATTTAAATTTTGTAAGTGATCAAATATTTTGTTAATAATAAATAAAAATAATAATTTATATATATATATATATATATATATATATATATATATAAATGTATAAATATATATAAATGTATAAATATATATAATATATATATATATATATATATATATATATATATATATATATATATATATATATATATATATATATATATATATATATATATATATATATATATATATATATATATATATATATATATATATATATATATATATATATAATCCAAATTTAGTTACATCACTGACAAAAGTCATATGTAACGGGTGTATTATATAAATAAAGTTAAGATTTCGGTGTGGTAGTCAGTATCTATGTAGGAAAAAGATGTTTTATGGCAAATAAAAAAAAAATTCAAGTTCTTTTTTTCTTTTTCTTTTTTAAAGTGCACATTTCAAATTTTTTTTTGATGAATTGTAGATAACAAGATAACAATTGACAGACAACTTAAAAGATTGCAAATTATATGAATCAATAAAGCAAGATGAAGGAATAAAATAAAAATAAAAATAAGAGTTTTTGAAACACTTAGGAACAGTCACGAAAAAAGGATGAGACTTAATTGAATGATGAGTAATATGAGAATGAATTTTAGTAGATGGCACAAGAGGCGCTAGCTCTTTAGAGCAGTGCGCATTATAGTATTTGGAAAAAAGAGAAAGAGAAGCGACATTACGACGATGTGATATTGGTTGAAGATTGGCTGCAAGAGCAGTTCCAACTATGCTTACAATGCGTTTTTGCACCTTGTCTAAAAAAGAAAGGGCATTATTATTTAGATCCGCCCCAGATATGGCAACAGTATTTGATAGAAGGCCGGATTTGAGATATATAGAGTTAGAGAATAAAATCCGGAGTAAGAAAGTATTGAACTCGATAAAGAGATGTAACCTTAGCAGATGCTAATTTTGCAATGGATTTGATATATGGTTTCCAAGAAAGATTGGAAGTAAGAGTTAATCCTAAAAGATGGAGGGTAGATGACTCATCGAGTACATTACCATTCATAAATATAGGAAGATATAAATTATTGCGATAAAGATAGGCTGAAAAAAATTGAGTTTTATCTGAATTAAAGTGGTAAAATAAGCAAAATATATCATATATAGTTGTCCTAATATACATTACATGCTTTACATTAAAATGCCAACATTATTCCAAAAGGTTTTTTCTGAAAAAACCTCGAATAATGATTTTCATGTCTAAGATCCTCCCAAACCCAAACTCCCTATTGATGTATGCACTCCTATGGATGGCTATATAATATATTATAATGACATTTTATGCAAGGCTAAGTATGCTAGATATCTGTATGCATTATAAATAGAAAAAAGCTCAATAAAAAGGTTTTCTAAGCATAAAAGAGCAGTTGCTGAGCTAATAAGTTCTCATGTGACTCATTATGAGTCATATAAGATTGTGTTTTGGTAGGTAAAGCAAGAGTAATAACTACCTTGGTAGTATTTTTAAAAAAGAGAAAGAGATGTAGCCTTATGATGTGACTGAAGCTCTAGCTTGGCAGCTATAGCAGGTACAATATATATTTACAATGTATTGTAATTGTATTTATAATTTACATATTTTTTTTAAAGAGAAGTTAGTTTTTTTAAGAAGCATAATTTTTTTGCTTTTAAAATGCAGACAGAATAAAAAAGTTATAAATTAGATTAGAAACTGGAATCATTTTTAAAAATAGCAAATGAAATTAAAGAGAGGCAATCTTAGCAGATGCCAGCTTTGCAATGGATTGGGTATATGATTTCTGTGAGATAATCTAAAATAGAGATAATCCAAGATATCTAAAATAGAAGTCTTAGTAAGAGTGTTACCATTCATCAATATTGGAATATTAACATTATTTTGATAATGGCTAACAGTGAAGAACTATTGTTTAAGTTAAAAATCAGTAACTGTGAGCCTCAAACTGTCACAGAGTAGAAATTAAATTCAAGCTGTTTGTTCTAAACAGTGTTCAAAAAGTAATGAAATTAAAAATTGATAAAATTTTATAGTACTATTTAGCTAACCTAATATATATATATATATATATATATATATATATATATATATATATATATATATATATATATATATATATATATATATATATATATATATATATATATTATATATATATATATATATATATATATATATATATATATATATATATATATATATATATATATATATATATATATATATATATATATATATATATATATATATATATATGAATATATATATATATATATATATATATGTGTGTGTGTGTGTGTGTGTGTGTATATATATAAATATATTTTTATATATTTATATATACACACACATATATATATATATATATATATTATATATATATATATATATATATATATATATATATATATATATATATATATATATATATATATATATATATATTTTATAGAGAATAGTTTAATTGTTTTAATTTAGGCAATTTTACATATATATAACAGACACACGTTGCAAGAGAGTTGGAACCCAGTGTTGGATGTTTATGTGAGTCCTTTATCTTTTTTATTTTGAATGCTAACATGAGCACAAAATCTAGCACATGCAATTTATTCTAAAAGTTTGTTAAATTTGTTTCAGCTTTGGATTAGTTTAATTAATAATTTTTCTAATAAAGATCTTTTCTGTTGTTGTTATTGTAAAATCTTTCAACCCAGTAATCCTCTCAACCCAATGTTCTCTTAACCCTTAATTGGTAGCAGTGGCATGCTGGTTCCAAAAAGCCTTTGCAGGATTTTTCTAAAAAGGCTTATTTTTGTTATATTTTACCATATATGCTTGATTTGAAGGGCCATAAATATTTAAAAGCTACATTTTATAATGACATTTAACTTAAGTTAAGGAAAATGTCATTACAAAACGTCATTATAAAATGTCATTATATAAAACGTAATAAGCTATATAGCATTATATTTCATTTTAAATCTGATCTGGTTTTTATCAGCATTGATATTAGTCCCTAAAAATGTAATGATAGATTTCAGACGAAAGTCAAATGTTTAGGAGAATATAGTAAAATCAATGGGTAATTTTTATGTTAAGTAATCTAACAATACATAATCCAGAATTTATAAAAATTTTATTGATATTAAAACTAATATATAACAAGTTTTATTTAAAATAAAAAATTGCCTGAAAACTTGTAAATCTAGAAATTCTTCAAGTTTTTTATTAATGTTCCAAAAATAGCACGTGTTACTATTTTAAATATAACAAGAAATTACTTAATGAGTAATTTTGTTGATACAAAACATTTTATTGTATTTGCATTCATACAAAATATTTAAAAGCATTAATTAGACTTTTTTTTTTCTTTCATTGTTCAAAATATTTTTCTTGCTTTAAAATCATCTTTTTAAATAACCTTTTATGTGCCAAGTGACTGATCTTTTTATGTTATCACATAAAAAGATCACTTATCAAATAAAAGTTTCGATTAAACTCTAATTAGTCTAACAGCAACTTCTTTAGTTCGGAGATATGTTGTTTTATATTGAATTTCTTTTGTTTGGAGATATGTTGTTTTATATTGAGCTTCTTTAGTTTTATATTGAACTTCTTTAGTTCGGAGATATGTTGTTTTATATTGAACTTCTTTTGTTTGGAGAACTTTATGTTGTTTTATATTGAACTACTTTTGTTTGGGGAACATTTTGTATTCAAGCAGCACAATTTTTTAAAATAATTAAAAATAGATTAATTTTTTTTTTAAAAAGGTAGGTTTAGTAGAAAAATTTTTTAGATAAGTAAATTTTCTTTATCATTTTTGTTCATTTTGAAAATATTTTGACCACATAAAAAAGTCAAATAACAAACTTGATGTCTCAAATTTATGGTTACATATGTAACCATAGATTTTTATTAATGATTTATTAAAGGTTTATTTTTTTATTAGTAATTCATTTTATTAAAGTTTTTATTAGAGATTCATATTGTTTCATCGACTATCATGTTATTTATTTGCTATGCAGCAATTAAATAACATGGTACGACAAAACAAGCAGTAATTAAATTTAAAACTAAATAGTTTAAATGATAAAATATTTTAATTGAAAAAAACTATTTAATTTACCAAACAATTTTTTTTTAATGCTTAAAAATCAGTAATCATGATGCCTTTTAATAATTTCAGGATCATGAAAACCCATCTTAATCTTTTAATAATTTCAGGATCATGAAATCCCATCTTAATCTTTGATTCGGTTCCTTTAATATATTACAATTGTTAAAAGCAACTTATGTGACATTAAAAAACATTTTTTGAATGTTTGCATTTTATTAGGCAAAATACTAACATGCTCAAAGTTTAACACTTTAAATTAGATAATTAAAAAAATTAGTTTGTGATATAATAAATAAAATGAATAAAAAATTATTTGCTAATCATTTAAAGAATATAGTAAAATAATTTTTTTTCTATAAGGCCTTTATAAGATAAAAAGCTAAAGGCCCATGCAGGATTCCCACATAGCTTCTGGAGCCAGCACACCACTGGTTGGTAATACATATAAAAACATAAAAGGAAAAGTAATCGCAAATTGTCATACAACAATGTAATCCGATATATATGTACTGAAAATTTTTTTCCATTATGCATTTACCAAATTTATTTATTTTTTGTTATGCCATGTTTCTTTTTATCAGTTTTTATTTTAAATAACATTTTTCTGATTGAGTTACACAAAAATAAAAAATATTTTATGCAACACTTTCAAAAGGGATTCTTATTTTCAAATTTCTACAATAATTTCTGTTTATGTTAAATGAACATAAAAAGTTTCAAATAAACGTGAAATTTATTTTAAATATAATAAAAGTATGTTTTGATAATAGATATCAAAAAAATTTTCATAGATTGGTGTGTATTGTTGTTACCTAAAAAAATACTCAGTTATTCCAATTGCCTGAAAATGACAATTTATGCATGATTGGAATTGTCAATTAGTTGGTACTTCACTACCAGTAAAGTCCCAATTAATTGACAATTCCAATTATGCAAAAATTGTCAATTAATTGGTACTTTACTGTTAGTGAAGTACCTATTAATTGACAATTCCAATCATGCGTAAAATGTCAGTTAATTGGTACTTCACTGGTAATGAAGTACCAATTAATTGACAATTCTAATTGTGCCAAATTGTCAATTAATTGGTACTTCACTACCAGTAATATATTCTTAACTGAAAGATTAACCGACTCCACAGAGTTACATAGTACATTGAAGGATTGATAATTAGTTAACTAGATTAATCATCTTTACCTACCTATGAATATTAACTATTTTAATGTTTCCATTTAGTACACTTACTCGTATAATAGTTATACAATTAAGTGTTCTATATTTTAGGTGTATATTTGATATTATTATTATTCAATTAAGTGTAATATATTGATATGATTATTGCCAGAAATAGTGAGTTCACTAAGATATGAAATATTATAAGTTTAACCTCTGGTTATACTTATAATATTACATATCTTAGTGTTAAATGGCCTATTGATTCTCGCTTTGAGGTGTGGCCCTGCACAGTTGTGGCCCTGCCTCCCTAACAACTATCCTGAAACAGTTTGTTAAATGATTAATTGTTTTTTGTATTTTTTTGTTGTTTTACAAGGTTAATGTAAAAATTGTTTATTTTTTTTTTATAGCTGATTGCATTCATGATATTTTTTATAGCTGTATCACATTTTTGGAGTTTACATTAAGTGTCCGTCACGCACAAGAGCTTTTTTCACAGACAGAGTTTATAAGCATAGCCTGCTGGCTGGGATTTATGATAGCAGTTTGTCTTGTTATAGTTTATCTTGTTGTGATGTGGGGTAGTAAAGTAAGTTGTTTATGTAGTTTATATATATAATTCTTAAATTTTTAAGAATATAAAAGGTCTTTAAATTTTTAGCTTTTTAAAAACCATAAACTCTCTTTTTTTCACTAAACTCAATAGCTCAATATTCAATAACAAATATTTACATTGATTGTAAATTATGACATAAAATCTCATTATATTATTACTATTATTTTTATTATTATTAAAAATTATGATTTAAACTTTATTTTAATTCATTTTATAAATCATCAGATAAAACTAGAAAAGCGCAATAAAGTACGATATAATCGTTAAAAAATAATTGCACTTATATATATTATAATTATATATATATATATATATATATATATATATATATATATATATATATATATATATATATATATATATATATATATATATATATATATATATATATATATATATATATATATATATATTTATATATATATATATATATGTATAAACTTATATATATATATTTATATATATATATATATATATATATATATATATATATATATATATATATATATATATATATATATATATGTATAAATTTATATATATATATATATATATATATATATATTATATACACGTATATATATATATATATATATGTATATATATATGTATATATGTTTATATATATATATATATGTGTGTATATATATATATATATATATGTGTGTGTGTGTGTGTGTGTGTGTGTGTGTGTGTGTGTGTGTGTGTGTGTATGTGTGTGTGTGTGTGTGTGTTTATATATATGTGAGTATATATATATACATAAAAGTTTTTCTTATAAGTCAATATTGCTAATAAAATTAACATTATCACAAGGTTATTAGTTACTGTAATTTTTTAAAAAGACTCGCTTCATGGTCTATGTAATCCATATAAGGATGCATTTGATCTGAATTTAAAGTATCCATAATGGACCAGTGCTTGCAAGCTATTAGTAAAACATGACACTTATTTACTTTTTGTGGTAATTCTAAAGTAACAATACTTCTCATCATTATTGTTGCAAAGCAGTGATAACCTTATAACACAATTCTTTTTTTAAATCTTTAGACAATAAAATCTTTATTATCTTGGGACTAAATAAATAAATTTGAATATAGAATATGTGTGCATATATATGTATATATATATATATATATATATATATATATATATATATATATATATATATATATATATATATATATATATATATATATATATATATATATATATATATATATATAGATATATATATATATATATAGATATATATATATATATATAGATATATATATATATATATATATATACATACACATATAAATTTAAACAGTGCTTTCAAAAAAAATCAGCGCAGTAAAATTTTGTTGCTTAATGTAAATTTAAACTTCCATAAAATTAAAACTAAAGAAGATATTGAACAAATTTTATTTTATTTTTTAACTTATTTTTAAATCTTTTTTAAACAAATCTTGCATATTGGAGGGTATACTAAATAATAAAATTTTATATAAAAACGTTATCAAACATAATAACAAAAAATATCAATAAAAAACTGCAATATATAAAAAATTAAAGCAACAAAAATAACATCTAATCTAGTATTTAAAATATCCCCCATGAACTTTTTTGCAAGCTGCACATCTTTTTTGCATCCATTTTACAAGATTGTTGAAGATTTTGTTTGGAACTCTTGTCCAAATGGTATCTAATTCTTGCTTTAGGCTATTTATGGATCGTATTCGCACTTTGACTAGTTCTTTGTCCATCCAAGCCCAAAGAGATTTGATTAAAATCTGGTAGTCAAGCTACCAAGGTATTAATTTTACTTTATTTTGTTTTATCCATGCTTTTATTGTATGAGCTGTGTGGAAAGGCGCCAAATCTTGTTAAAATTGCCACCATTCGTCTCGATCAATCAGCATGTCCACTGATGGAACCATGCAGTTCTTTAGTGTCTCTATATAATGTCTCTATATAATGGCTGGCCACTTTGTACAATTAAGTTCCCTGACTTTTCCCTGACTCAGCTATATTTTTAAATGTGAGTTTTTAGGTTTTTTATTTTTTGCTTGTAGTCACTTTCCAGTTTAATACCAAAGATATTATGAAGGAAAAAATAATACGAATGTTATATATTATGTATTGTATATATATTTTTTATATTCTTATACTATATAAGTTACAGGATCATAATTTAGACTTCAGATTGTTCTATATTATTACTATAAAGTGAAGTAAGGTTTTTACTAGTATTTTAAAATTGAAATAAATTAAAATACCGGAGCAGATTAAGCTTCAAAATTTATAAAATTAACAATAAAGAGTTTAACAATAAAACAGCATCTAACAATAGTATAAAATTAATATGCATACGCCAATATATATGCAATTTATTTGGTCGAGTTTGCTTTATGTTCTTTTGGAAATTCTGATAGCAAATGCATAAATTTTCTTGAAAATTAATAAAAGAGCAAATATATAATCTAAGCAAAAAGCAAAAAATATTACAAATATCTCAGTTATTATGAGTTAAAAATATATAACAAATATCTCAGTTATTATGAGTTAAAAAATATAACAAATATCTCAATTATTATGAGTTAAAATATATAATAAATATATATCTCAGTTATTATGAGTTAAAAAATATAACAAATATCTCAGTTATTATGATTTAAAAAATATAACAAATATCTCAGATATTATGAGTTAAAAAATATAACCAATATCTCAGTTATTATGAGTTAAAAATATATAACAAATATCTCAGTTATTATGAGTTAAAAAATATAATAAATATCTCAGTTATTATGAGTTATAAAAATAAGCATTTTGAATAGTTAGATAAAAAATTTTTTGGTTTTAAGTTAAATACATTAAAATAAAAATTCTAAATTCAAGAAAATAGCTTAAATCTTTTTTAAAAAAAATAATGTAAATCTGTTCATTCTATTTTGCGTGATAGCATTTTTAATTCTCATGTATATCCTTCTGATGATGTTGATTTAACTTTGTTTTTTTAGAATTTAATTCCTTAATTTTCTGCAGAGTTAATTTTCTATCAATACAGTCTTGTTTTTCTTGCAATTTTTCTTCTCTTCTTCGTTTTAATGAATCTTTGTAGTGTGAATAGGACATGCTTATACCTTAGATCATTGATTTTATTTTCAACATTGCAAACTCCTCCAACATGGTGAATTCCATCATAAACTTGTCTTTGGGCAACCAGAGAGCTTTCATGCAAATTTTCAACAGGAACATCTGAATTAATTGAAAACAAACTTTCAACCTGTGCACAACCATGTGACAAAGTAAAGACAATTTTGGATACTTCAAATAAGTTATCAAAATTTTGGCTTATAAAAAGGGTTAAAAAAACATCCAACCTATCCTTATAAACATTGTAATTTGTGAATTCTAATCTATGAATGCCTTTCGCAAGATCACACAAATCTTGATACTGATTATTGACCTTATCAAATATTGTAGTATTAATCCATTTAGATTCACGAAGAATTGTAAGTAAGTCAGTCATTCTGTTTTTTCTGGAGTCAAAATTAGAACTCTTGTAAGTTTATATTTTAAAGGACTTCTTTCTCTTAGTTTATCAACAACTCCAATGTAAAATTGAATGCAATCACTTTGAAACTGTAACTTCTGACATTCACTTGATTTTATTTTACCAAGTAGAGAAGAAGTTGCGATACTACTTTTTACTTCTTTTTGGTGACGCTGCGCTGTTAAGTCTATTTTCATTAGCATTATAACAGATTTTATTCCCTCCAATACATCTTTTTTAATAAAGTTTTGCATGAGAGATCTCATTAGCTTTTCAAATTCTTGATATAAGAATGGTGCTAATGGAAAATCTGACTGAAAAAATCTTAGGAATGGTTCTACAATTGAACCCAAATATTGAAAAAAGGCAGTTTTAGCAGGTATTAGAAGATCATTGACAGCATCAGTAACAATGTTTACACTATAATTACTAGGAAGTTTAGACTGCGTGACATACAATTTCACATTATCATAAATATCTAAAGCTCTTTGACATACAGATACATTTTCAACCTATCTTGTTAAACAAAATTTTAGTGGAAACTTATCACTTCCAATAATTGTTTGATAATCTGCCCTATGAGCAGGGCTATCATGAAACAGTTTATAAAAACTTCTGAGTACTGCATTTACATTCCATTTCACTTTTTTATGACTTCCTTGAAATGCACCATGTGTAGGCCACATGATCCCATTTCAAGAATAGATGTTTCAAATTTTTTACCAAATTCATCATTGAGAATATCAAAAAACTTCCAATTCACATTTGGTCCATTCATAGAAATTTGTAATATATTGTATTGGAGATTTTCATTTAAAATACTTGTAAAACCTTTGTACAAATCATTTGTTGATGCATGACCAAGAAACACTGATGAAAAGTATCTTGAAGTCACATGGTTGCGAATAACAGCCCAATAACGAATGCAAATATCCGTTTAGCCTTTTTGAACAACTTCATTTAAAGACTCATCAAAACATACAACTATGTGTGTAGAGCTTAACACCGCCTTTAAAACAAGATCATGGAAATATGGGGCACAGAAATCTAATGGCAATGATTCAGAGGCTATTAAAGCTGATTTTGATGAAACAGTTGCTTGTAATACTGTAGTTTTCTGTGACTTGTTAGTAGAATAATCTAATACTGTTGGTTGGCTTTTTAAAGATATATTTTTTAAATGTTTTGCACTTTTTTCATGACTTTTGACTGCCATTATACCCATATTACTTAGGGAAAATGTCTTTCCACACACACTACACATACCCTTTGTTTTATCATCAGCTCTCTTAAGCAAACCCCATGATGGGTGACATTCTAGATTGATCCAGTCATTATCAAAGTAAGTTATTTTAGGCATTTTTATTATTTCTATAATATTTACCTGGAAAAAATTAGCATTGTATTAATATAGTTAAATAAAATCATA